TGTTCCTGGGTCCCTTTTGGGGTGGGAGTGAAGGTGCAGCAGGGGAGGGGGATCCTGGATCTGTGGGGGGAGCCAAGGCTCAGCTGCTGGGAGAAACCCAGAGCAGCTCTGGGAATCCAGGAGCTGCCTCTTGGTGACCCCGGTGGGCCCTTCCAGCTCAGGATATTCTGATTTTAATCCCAAGCAAGAGGTTTGGAGAGGTGGGAGAAGGGTGGGGGCAGCTCTGCCAGGACACTCAGCCCGGAGCTGGCATGGGCTGATCCAGGAGGGATCCAATTCCAGGCCGACATTCCCAGAAAAAGAGCGGGATCTGGGAGATGTCACCTGTTGTGGGAGCATGGGGACACAGGTTCTGCTGCTCTCCACAAATCCCTGAGGCCGTGATTTTGCCCAAAATCAGGAGGTTTTTCTCCAAAATCAGGAGGTTTTCCCCAGAATCAGGAGGTTTTTGCCCAGAATCAGGAGGTTTTCCCCAGAATCAGGAGGTTTTTGCCCAGAATCAGGAGGTTTTACTCAGAATCAGGAGGTTTTACCCAGAATCAGGAGGTTTTTGCTCAGAATCAGGAGGTTTTACCCAGAATCAGGAGGTTTTTGCCCAGAATCAGGAGGGTTTTTGCCCAGAATCAGGAGGTTTTTACCCAGAATCAGGAGGTTTTTGCCCAGAATCAGGAGGGTTTTGCCCAGAATCAGGAGGTTTTTGCCCAGAATCAGGAGGTTTTTGAACAGAATCAGGAGGGTTTTTGAACAGAATCAGGAGGTTTTGCCCAGAATCAGGAGGTTTTTGCCCAGAATCAGGAGGTTTTTGAACAGAATCAGGAGGTTTTTACCCAGAATCAGGAGGCTTTTCCCCAGAATCAGTGTTTACCCAGAATTAGGAGGATTTTGCCCAGAATCAAGAGGGTTTTTACCCAGAATCAGGAGGTTTTTGAACAGAATCAGGAGGTTTTTACCCAGAATCAGGAGGTTTTTACCCAGAATCAGGAGGTTTTTGAACAGAATCAGGAGTTTTTACCCAGAATCAGGAGGTTTTACCCAGAATCAGGAGGTTTTTGCCCAGAATCAGGAGGTTTTTGCCCAGAATCAGGAGGTTTTTGAACAGAATCAGGAGGTTTTTGAACAGAATCAGGAGGGTTTTGAACAGAATCAGGAGGGTTTTGAACAGAATCAGGAGGGTTTTGCCCAGAATCAGGTTTTTGAACAGAAACAGGAGTTTTTACCCAGAATCAGGAGGGCTTTTCCCCAGAATCAGTGTTTACCCAGAATTAGGAGGATTTTGCCCAGAATCAAGAGGGTTTTTGCCCAGAATCAGGAGGTTTTTGCCCAGAATCAGGAGGTTTTTGCTGAGGTTGTTCCTGGCTGTGCCAAACCTGGAGTCTGCACAGACCCTGCTCTGCTGATCCCGGCAGGGGATGGAAAACGTGGAATCCTCTGGGCTGGGAATGAGGTGGCACCGGCAGAGTGAGCTCAGCCACTGGAAAGGGCCCTGGATCCAACCCCAGGCACAGGAGCGGCTGCTGTTCCCTGTTCCAGCTGTTCCCTGTTCCAGCTGTTCCCTGTTCCAGCTGTTCCCTGTTTTTCCCAGCTGTTCCCTGCTGTTCCCTCTGTTCCCACTGTTCCCTGTTCCAGCTGTTCCCTGTTCCAGCTGTTCCCTGTTCCAGCTGTTCCTGTTGTTCCCGCTGTTCCTGCTGTTCCAGCTGTTCCCTGTTCCAGCTGTTCCCTGTTTTTCCCACTGTTCCTGCTGTTCCCTCTGTTCCCACTGTTCCCTGTTCCAGCTGTTCCAGCTGTTCCTGTTGTTCCCTGTTCCAGCTGTTCCAGCTGTTCCTGTTGTTCCTGTTGTTCCCCGTTCCTGCTGTTCCTGCTGTTCCCTGGCTCTGGAATGCTTGCAGGACAGTGCTCAGCACTGACTGTTGGTTTGGGTTGGTTTCCAAGGAAATCCCAGAGTGCCCTTTGGTGTGAGGTTTCCCTGGATCCCTGCATCCATGGATCACTGGGTCCCTGGATCCCTGTGTCCCTGTGTCCCTGGGTCCCTGCGTCCCCGGATCTCTGGATCCCTGGGTCCCTGCATCCCTGGGTCCCTGGATCCCTGGATCTCTGCATCCCTGGGTCCCTGTGTCCCTGGATCCCTGGGTCCCTGGATCCCTGCATCCCTGGATCCCTGCGTCCCTGTGTCCCTGGGTCCCTGGATCTCTGGATCCCTGGGTCCCTGGATCCCTGGGTCCCTGTGTCCCTGGATCTCTGGATCCCTGGATCCCTGTGTCCCTGGGTCCCTGGGTCCCTGTGTCCCTGGGTCCCTGGGTCCCTGTGTCCCTGTGTCCCTGCATCCCTGGATCCCTGCGTCCCTGGGTCCCTGGCTCTGAGCTCCTGGGGAGCGCAGTGGCTCGGGAAGGGCTGGGGAGGCACCAGGAGCTCTCCGAGGAGCTTTGGGACAGCATTCCCAAAACATGCCGTGTTTCTGGGCCCAGCTCCGGCAGCAGCCGTGGAAAATCCCCCAAAAGGCTGGAATGTGAGTGCAGGCTGGGAATCCCCCAGCTGGAGGAGACACAACCTGCCAGAGCTCCGGGAGCTGCTGTCCCCAGACCTGGGTCAGGTTTAAACCCTGGAAAAGGATTTTGTATCCTGATTTCTTCCCCTCTGGGCGATCCAAGGAACCTTTCTGCTGGCTGCTCCTGCCCTGGGGGGGTTTTACCCTTCAATAAATATGTGTATTCCAGGGAAATGGGCATTCCTTCAGGAAAAAATGGATATATTGAGATGTATAAATATCTATGTTTTTATATATTCTCTGTATAATATGGCTTGGGTATAGTGTCTGTTATATATATTAAATATATTAAATATGATATAATATAATATAATATAATATAATATAATATAATATAATATAATATAATATAATATAATAAATATAATATAATATAATAAATATAATATAATAATATAATATAATTCATGATATAATAGTTAATATAATGCATGATATAATAATCTAATGCAATATAGATAGATAAAGCAATATGACAATACAGTATACAATAAAATACAATATATATCATACAATATAATATGATAAAATACAATATTATATATATTATGATACATAATATTATAGAATATGATATGATATGATGTGATATGATATGAGATGACATGACATATTATAATTATATGAGATATGAGATATATATAATATAATAATATAACATAACATAGCATAACATAATACAATATCATATATTATGAGATATGATATGATATGATATAATATAATATAATATAATATATAATATATAATACATGAGATAATAGTTAATATAATGCATGATATAATAATCTAATACAATATAAATAGATAAAATGCAATATAACAATACGATATACAATAAAATACAATATATAATATGATATAATATGATAAAATACAATATGATATCTAATATAGTCTTTAATATGATATTAATATAATATATTAAATATAACAACATTATATGATATATAATACATGATAGAATATTATATGTTATGACATATGATATATAATATAATATAATATAATATAATATAATATAATATAATATAATATAATATAATATAAATAATATATAATGTATAATATATAATATATCTATAATATATATAATATGATATGGCAAATGACATATGACATATTATAATGATGTGATATTATATGATATGATATATAATGTAATGTAATATAATATAATACATGATATAAGTTAATGTAATGCATGATATAATAATCTAATGCAATATAAATAGATAATGCAATGTAACATAATACGATATAATACAATAAAATACAATATAAATAATACAATATAGTATGATAAAATACAATATGATATCTAATATGATGTATAATATGATATTAATATATTACATAAAATATTATATAATATTATATAATATATTATATAATATAATACGTTATGACATATAATATAATATAATATAATATAATATAATATAATATACAAAATATAACAAAATATAATATGATATAATGTGATATGGCAAATAACACATGACATATAATAATATATGCTACGATATATAATGTGATGTAATATTATATAATATAATACATGATATAATAGTTAATATAATGCATGATATAATAATTAATGCAATATGAATAGATAATGCAATATAACATAACATAATACAATAGAATACAATATATACCATACAATATAATATGATATGATAAAATACAATGTGATATATAATATGATCTATAATATGATATTAATATAATATATTTCATAAAATAATACTAACATATATATTATATAATATATAATTAATTATATATACTAACTATATATTATATAATAATATAATATATATAATAATATATATAATATATAATAATATTATATATAATATATAATAATATATAACATTATATAATATATGATAGAATATTCTATTTTATGACATATGATATATAATGTAATATAATATTATATGCTATTATATAATATAATAAAATATATATATTACAATATATAATATGATATGATATAATAGAACATAATATAATATGATATTATATAATATGATATGTCATATGAAATATGACATAATGATATGATATGACATATAATGTGATATAATATAGTACATGATATAATAGTTAATATAATGTATGATATAATAATCTAATGCAATATAAATAGATAATGCAATATAACATAATATATAATACAATAAAATACAATATATACCATACAATATAATATAATATAATATGATAAAATACAAGATGATATCTAATATGATGTATATGATGTATAATATAATATAATATAATATAATATAATATAATATAATATAATATAATATAATATAATATAATATAATATAATATAATATAATATAATATATAATGGAGCACCCCATGCCATGGTTTTCCAGGTGTGATTTTCCAGGAATATCCATGGCTGTGGCTCTCATTCCTTGCTGCTGTTTCTCCCCAGAGCCGCCTGAAGGAAGCGGTGCAGCTGCTGGAGGATTACAAACACGGCACTCTGCCCCCAGGAGTCACCAACAAAGAGGTCAGAGCAAAACCTTCTCTTCTCTTCTCTTCTCTTCTCTTCTCTTCTCTTCTCTTCTCTTCTCTTCTCTTCTCTTCTCTTCTCTTCTCTTC